TTCAATAATAGCTTATTACATATACCTATTAGTTCTTTTAGTGGTTACTCTATTCTTTATAATATACATCTTTATATTATTTTATCTAATCTTTATTGTTTTCTTCTGATCACTTTTCTTTTAATTTGTCATTATTTTCTGGTTTCTTAGAGTAGAAGCTAAAGTTATTGACTTGAGATTTTTCTTCCTGTGTAATACAGGCATTTTTAGTGCTATAAATTTCCCCCTAAGTGCTGCTTTAGCTGCATTTCACAAATTTTAATGTTATGTTTTTATTTCTTTTAGTTCAGAATACTTTCTTTTTTTTTTTTTTAACACCTACAGCACCTGCTATTCCTAGGTAGTCTCCCATCCGAGTACTAACCAGGTCCAACCCTGCTTAGCTTCTGAGATCAGACAAGATTGGGCACATTCAGGGTGGCATGGCTGTAGACTCAGAATACTTTCTAATTTCTCTTTTGATTTCTTCTCTTATCCATGGATTATTTAGAAATATGTTATTTAGTTCTCAAATATTTGGAGATTTTCCAGACAAGTTTTTGTTCTTGGTTTCTAATTCATTTCCATTGTAGCCAGAAAATATACTTTGAAACTTCTCAAATTTAATTGAGACTTGTTTTATGGCCCAGAAATGATCTATCTTGTTCAGTGTTCTGGGTACCCTTGAAAAGAATGTATACTCTGCTGCTGTTTGATGGAGTGTTTTTTTAATGCTAACATAGTTAGCCCAAATTAGTTGATAGTGTTGCTCAAGTATTCAAATTTTTGACAATAACTTGTTTATCCTCACAATTCTGTCAATTTTTGCTTTATATATTTTGAAGGTATGCTATCGGTTGCTTAAATATTTAGAATTGTTATGTGCTTTTGATGAATTGACCTCTTTATCATAAAGAAATGACCTTCTTCCTGGTAATATTCATTGCTCTGATATATACTTTATCTTATATTAATTTAGCCACACCAGATTCCTTTTTATTAGTGTTAGTATGACATATCATTTTTTATTCTTCTACTTTTAATATACTTATAGTTTAATATTTAAGTAAATTCCTTGTAGAGAGCATAAAATTGGATCTTGCTATTTTATTGAATCTTTGTCTTTTATTTGGATGTTTATATCATTTACATTTGATGCAGTTATTGGAATAGTTAGGTTTAAATTTAACATCTTACTATTTTTTTTTCTTTCTTTCAGATTTGTCTTTTCTGATCCTATTCCCTTTCTCTTTTTTCTGTCTTCTCTGGATTAATTTAACATTTTAAAGCATTCATTTTATCTCCTTCTTTGGTTTATTAGCTATAAATCCTTGTATTATTTTAGTCATTTCTCTTAGGTTTATAGTCTACATCTTTACATGTATAACCTAACTTAAAGTTATATTATACTACTTGTACTCTATATAGTACAAGAACCTTACAACAGTTCTAGCTTCATATATTCCCAATGAATAACCTCAATAAAATGAGAATTTCTCTTTCTCAGTAGTGATTTTTCAGTCTCAGAGAGGATTGTAAGTGGCCCTGCTTGGGTTACATACTCATCCCTGAACAGACAACAGTATACTGGGGCAGAATATTTTGGAAAGCCTGACTTCCTGCTGCAGCCCTAATAGAACTTCCTAGAATTGGGAAAGAGCTCACCAGAGGAACCTAGGAAGAGAAATGCAAAAGTGTACTAGTTAGACAAAAACTAGAGCTATCATAGACCACTACAGGCAAACATATTACAGAAAGAGTTTACAGATTGGATGGTAGAGAATTTGCACATGCTTGCTAAAAATTTCCAATATATCTTGCCAATAATACCGAATTTGGCCACACAAAGTGGGAGCAAATGAAGCATTTCTCTGTATGACATTTTAGTTTCCCTGGTACCCCTCAAGGCACTCAGCCACCAGTGACACTTCTACTGTCTGATTCTTGTCAAGCTGAAAAAGAAACTAAATGCTCCACTCTCCTTTTATATTTGACTTTTATCGGCATTCTGAAAAAAATTTTACTAACAGTATAAGCACTCTGTATAAGGCAGAGTTTCTCAACCTCAGTGCTGTTGACATTTTGGACTGGCTAATTCTTTGTAGTGAGGGGTTGCCCTGTGCGTTGTAGATTGTTTAGCAGCATCTACTCACTAGATGTCAGTGACACAACCACCTGCCCAGTTGTGAAAATCAAGAATTTCTCCAGGTAGTGGCAAATGTCCCCTGGGGGAGCAAAATTGCATGTGGTTGAGGGAATATTTACGAACATCAGGATCTACAGGTTCTTGACCTCAAATTAGCATCAGGAGATGGGGAGAAAGCAGAGTTAGCATTAGGTGCCATCAACTCCTGTTTCATACCCCATCAAGCCTATCTTTCCATGTCTGTTGTTCACTACTGCAGAAACAATCCCAGTACCTGGAAAAGAGCACTGCTCGGCAACCACAACCACAACAAATGTTAAAAGAATTAAGTGAGTGGGTGGATGGGTTAATGAATGGATGGAAGGAAGGATGGATGGATGAAAAGAAAAATGTGGATGTTTATCCACAGTGTTACTCTGGGAAAAGTAGTGACATTGGTGGTATGTACTTAAGAAAAAAGAGATATTTTACTGTTTTACTTAAAAATTTCTGTATTTGAATTTTATCATTTTTACTTGTATAACTTGGAAATTTTTGAATGATTTCTTTTTAAAGCACTTGGAGATCAAAGCAAGCATTTTCTCTTTGATAACCATTTCTTTCATTTGCCAAAGGTTGTTCTTTTTTAAGTACAAATGTGGACTTTAGCCCTAGTTCACATTCTGAATATATTACCACCTCTGAAGCTTGATTTCTTTTTTCCTTTTAACTCATGAGAAAACAGTCATATAATATAAATATTTGTGAATAGAGTTTGTGTTGGAAAAAATGTACTTAACACAAAAGTAACCTGACACATCACGTTCCACTCTGCATTGGCCTTGAAGGCAGGGACTGGAGAGCATGCATTGTTACATCTTGAACCCTACAGAGGTTGTGTGGTATGGGCCCTCAGGAATTATATGCTGAAAAGGTTGATAATGATGAAGCTTCACAGGCATGATCTTGGTTACTCCTGTTTTACTTTGTCAAACCAAGATTTTCTGGGCAGGATGAGAGGAGTGGAGGAGTGAGCTAGGTGCAGTTAAGCCCTCCAAAAGAAGAACGGGTGTCGGGGCCTTTCTGCTTAAGGCAAAGGAATAGGCCAGGGAGTAAGGAAGGAAAACAATAATTTGTGGGGATAGCTGTTGCTTCTCTCTCCTGTGGCACCAACGAGAAGCTGGGTCAGAATGTCCTTCGGTGAGAGCAGAAATTCCTCTTGCAGTAGGGGACCCAGCACAAAGCAGTCCAGCACCTGTCCCGTGTGACCGCCCCCTACTCCTGTAGAATTCTCATCTCTCCCCCTCACCTCCACCCCAGAGAAAAAGGCCCAGCCACCTGGGTCTCTTGAGGTCAGGGTTCCAGGAACTGGAGAGCCTGGCTTGTGAGGTGAGATCATTTATTTGCATGCGGCATGTGATACACAAAGATATAAAACAATCCATCTGCCTTAGTGACCAAACAGATTCCCTTCACCTCATCCTCCAGCAGAAGCTGTCAAGGCAGGGAGGTTGGGCGAGGTGACCTTCCAGCTGAATCTGTGCTTCTAAAAATAGAAGCATCCTTGGAGAATTGAGAAGGAGAGGGGAGACTGGATGTTGAGGGCAAAAACTGGACTCCCCAGAGTATTGTCACTATGAAACTGTATTAATTAGACACAGACACCCAGCTCAGTAACCTCAGGTATCACTGAAATCTAAACTAAATGAACTGGCTTCTTTTTTTTCTTTTTCCGGTTACACTCTCCCCAGGCTAAAAAGGAGAAAGACAATCATATCTTCTGACCTATTTGAATGGCTGCATACTGCCTAAGGAGCTGTCTTCCCCAGCAGAGGGCAATGGAGGGTCCTTAGAGATATACCAAGAGGAGGCAAACACTACAGCAAAGTGGAAGCCCCCAGGGGGTGCAGTAGGGGCCTGAGGGTTCTGGGTCCCACCTGTCTCTCCCTGCGTGGAGACTGCAAAGGGGCTCTATCTGAGGCTGGGTGTGTCCAGGGCTGTGGATCTGTAGGGTCACCAAGTGCCACTCTTGGGCTTTTGAGGGTCCTTGTTCAGAGCCATGTAGGGACTGATGAGGTGTTTCCAGGGTCCAGTGGAACTGTTTGCTGGTCTGCATAGGTTGTGCATGACCAGGCTGTGTGCAGTGCCCTGGTGGGTGGAGGTGTGTGCGTGCGTGCGTGTGTGTGTGTGTGTGCGCGTTTTGGGGTGGGGGTGTTTGCAGGAGTTTACAGAGGTACTGTGGCAAACTTGGGACTGTAGGGGAGTATGTGGGGGTGTGGGGCAGGGATGCATATGGACAGTGACTATTTGGAGGACTTTGTGGGCCCATGTGGGGCCTGTGGGGAAAGCTGTGGGGGAGGCTCTGTGTAGAAAACAAGGTGGGAGAGTCTCCAAGGGGCTGTATGGGGAGCTGTTTGAGAGACTACACAAGGCTGCATGGGCTGTGTGCAGAGCATGTGCATGTCCAGGGCTGTATGGGGGACTACACAGTACTGAGGGACACCTCTTTGTGTAGCTTTGTCCTGTGGGCTCTGTGAGGATCGTGGTGGGGATATGAATGGAGACACATGGGTGACTCCATGGGGAGTCTTCTGCTCTAGGGGCTGTGTTCCGGGCCACAGGACCTGCAAGTAGCTAGATAGAAGGTGGCAGAGGCCCTGGATGGCCTCCATAGCTTCACCATCCAAAGATGCACTGTGATTCCTTAGGATGAGGGACCCCAGAAGCGCAGGCGTTTATTCTTCTCATGTGACTGATGGAAGGAAAGAGGCACCAGGGATTCCCGAGATGAGCCAAAGGAGCAGTACCGAGCCTTCCAGTGCTGCCTGGCAGCTGATGCTTTTGCACACTGGGCTGGAGACACTTGATAATGCTTCTGTTTGTGCTTTCTCAACAGGACAACGTGGATCTTGGAGAGTTGATGTTTTCACTCTGCTACCTTCCAACAGCTGGCAGGCTGACCATTACCGTGATAAAAGCAAGGAATTTAAAGGCAATGGATATAACAGGAGCATCAGGTGAGACGTTCTCTAATTCACACTTCCTTGTATATTCTATTGTATGTAGTACCTTATGAAGTTTCTAGTAGCATAATAAAACACATGAACTCTGGAACCAAACTTCCTAGGTTTGATCTCTGTCCTAATACCTATGTGACCTTGGGCAAGTCACTTAACCTCTCTGGGCTTCGATTTGCCATCTGTCAAATGAGAGTAATAATAATTGGCTCATTGGGTTGTTATAAGGTTAAATGAATTAATAAATAGAAAGCCATAAGAATAATGCCTGGTACATATTAAATGCTACATAGTGTTAGCTGCCATTATTATTATTATTTTCCTCTCTTAGGTCTTCTTCACCATAATTGTGAACTGGACCTACAGTTCACATGTGCCGAGATAGCTTATCTAATTGGATCTTTTCTCAGATGTAAGCAGTTACTATCTCAGGCTCATTAAAGATTGAAGATTACTACATCCTTATAAAAGCCTCATCAGTGAACTAAGCAGTTTTGTTTTTCCAGTGAATTGAGCGTGTACCTTAAATTCTAAACCTTAAAAAAAAAAAAAGTCCCAATGTGCAGTTTCTAACATACAAGTTCACAAGCAACTTCTGCTGAGGCTGTTGAAATAGGGTCATAAAATACCCAGTCCACTGTCTGTCGTCACTGAAATCAAAGGACATCAGCTGCAGTATGTTCTGCTTTCTGTACTCCAGTGTTTTTCTAAGCAGAAAAAAAAGATGCTCCATCTGGCCCTCTAAGTCCCTCCTAGACAGTGTGGGAGTTGGCAATGCATGGTTATGCAGGTGACGAGAGAAGGAGCATTCCCCACTGAGCAGTAGGATAGTGAGATGGAACCAGGAAAGTCTCACCTGAAGCAGAGACCGGCCTGTCACCTGTCAGCCCAGCATTGCACCACAGGCAAGCCTGTGTCCTTTCTCTCTCTGATGTGCTGAGTTGCTTCCCGCTTTGCAACCCATCCACAGGCAGCTCTGGGGCTTGAGGCCCCTGCACTTACGGAAGTCCACCCCCTAAAATTCTCCCTTTCCTCTAGGAATTCAGCTTCTCTATTTCCTAAAGACCTGATGTTTAGGAAGAGATTGTCTGGGATGGTGCAGAGTCGGGGCCTACAACCTGTTTGCTCACGCCTTGGAAGTGCCTTTGCATTTCTCTTCCCATCACAGCCAGGCCGGTTGTGAATTCTAGCTGGAACGGTTTCTAATTTGGTAACAGATGTTTTCACACTATTTTTAAATTCCACATATTTTGAGGAGACAGTGTCCTGTACATTTTCGTGAATGAATGACTTAATTATCCTAACTCTAGTCTCTGCCCAGGCATCGTATTAATTAAAATCCTCAAACTCCAGCCCACAGGCACATAAAGGAGTGCTATATACATAGTCCATGAAACTCCACCGTGATAAAACTGCCGACCTAAATCTACATCTAATCTCATAGCACCCCTGCTTCTCATGGTCTGTACAGATCCGTACGTGAAAGTCTCGCTGATGTGTGATGGCAGACGGCTGAAGAAGAGGAAAACATCCACCAAGAGGAACACCCTGAATCCTGTTTACAATGAAGCCATAGTCTTTGACGTCCCTCCCGAGAACATTGACCAAATCCACTTGTCCATAGCAGTCATGGACTATGACCGGTGAGATACCTGGAGCTCTTGCTCAGTACAAGTCTTCTGTGCCCAGGGAGGGCAGAGGGGGAGTGCAGCCATAGAGTCTTAGCTGGCATCTGGGCCACAGGAAATGACTCGGATGAGCAGCACATGGAAAATTGATTGACAGGGAGTCTAAAAACCATGATGTAGAGTTGGGTTAGCAAAGTGCCTCTTGGCTCTCCCATTCTTTTCTCCCCCTTTTTTATGTCTTTCTCTTTCTCCATTCTCCCCTGCCCCCATCTTGTCCCCTCTCCACTCCTGCACACGCCCTAGAATCTCAGGTTGGAGAACTGTGGCCCCACCAGTCATAATCATCTCTTATGCAATCCCGACTGGCCTTTATGGAAAGATTCCAGTCAAAACAACAGAGTGATTACTTTAGCCAGACCATCAACATTTTTAAATACGTAACTTTGTTATTTTTTTTCCTTTTCCCAATGTGTTTAATAAAGATCATTTCCATCCACTTAAGTCTGAAAGCAAACATAGAAATGTTCTCTTGAAAATGCTAGAATCAGTATGGATGACAGGGTACATTAAAATGTATAAGATGCTCGACTTTCTAATTAATACAGCGCAGAAGAGATATTTATAGCCTACATTTTAGCCAATTGTGTATTTAAAGGACAGATTTGAAAAACAGTCACTTTAATATGCAAAGGAAGTACCAACAGGGAATTATACATGTTAAACCAGTCATTAGACTGAAATGAAAAGTCTCTTTTTAATTGGAAACCTCCCACGTGGTCTGGGCACAATTACGAAAAAAATCATTCTGCTCCTAATATAATCTCACAAATATTACTTGTAGCTAAAAATTTTCTCACATA